TTTCAGAACCCTAAAACAGGGTGCATAATTCATAGGAACAACCGTGCAAAGGCAATTGTGAAAAAGAAGTTTGAAAATCTTGAAATCATGGTATATATGTGAACTCAAATATTATTCTTATTCTTATGCTTATGCTTATTCATATTCTTATTCTTATTCTTATTCAGAAATCAAACGCCAGATTCATTACTGATGTTTTCACTGTCAGCTCCAGGGCATACTTGGATAAAGATCCACATCTGGAACCTGCTGAAACAGGTAATCAAGTGAAATTTTGTTTTGAAAAGTTTATGTCTTATTACTCCTGCTCATTTAAATATTGACATTTTGCCAATAATCTGTAGAAATTCCAAAGCTGCAGGACGTTCTGAAGAACACTAACAGGAGAATTAACCGAGAACTGACCAGAGATTATGTCAATGAAGCAAAGGGAGTTTTATCCTTCATTCAAAGTGTCCAACTAGATACAGATGAAAAAATGGTCAGAATTACTGATATTTCACTTGTCTTCTAAAAATCAGCCAATAGGTTTATTGAGAAATTTACTGCTACACTGCTTTGTGTTTTAGGTGGAGAAAAAAGCTGAAGTCCATAAAGCTTTGCAGAAGAACCTAGAAAAGGCACTGAAGCAGTTGGATTGTCAGTTTGATTTATTTTATGCGATTTTGGATCAATGTCTCTCAAAAGGAGTGAAGGAATCAGTGGAACTGTGTGTTGACACCAAAAACTCCATGATTGCATCTGTAAGTGTGATCCTGTTGTATGTGAAATTTTTGAAAAGCCATTTTGTGGGCTTTCTAACCGCAGTGATATTTGTGCTTTCTGAATCAGGTTGCACCTGTAGATAAAAGGGGATTCCATAAAACCCTTCAAGCATTGTACAAGAACAAAGGATACTATTGGCCAAAGAACTGGGATGGACCCCTAGATCTAAACATGTGCTTGGCCACACACATGCACGACAACATCGATGAGAATTTTAATTTAATTTTTCCGTATGTTCTGCTGTCATTCCCTATCCACTATACCTTCAGTTGATAAAAATAAAACAATTTAGAGTGTTAGATGAGCAGTGTATTGAAATATATAAGCACATCTACATCAGCTAGTGGTATATATGTGAGTCTGGAGCACAAAAGCAGTCTTAAGTCGCTGGGGTATATTTGTAGTAATAGCCAAAAATACATCGTATGGGGTCAAAATGATCCATTTTTCTTTTATGCCAAAAATCATTAGGATATTAAGTAAAGATCATGTTCCATTAAGATATTCTGTAAATTTCCTACCATAAATATATCAAAACCTAATTTTTGATTAGTAATATGCATCGCTAAGAACTTAATTTGGACAACTTTAAAGGCGATTTTCTCAATATTTTGATTTTTTTTGCACCCTCAGATTCCAGATTTTCAAATAGTTGTATCTCGCCCAAATATTGTCCTATCCTAACAAACTTATTTATTCAGCTTTCAGAGCTTTTATTTCAGCTTTTTT